ATTTCACATGTATAATCTATAGCATATTGGCTTGCCTTTTCAAGGGGTGGGGGAAGGCAGGAGGGAGGAAAAGAATTTAGAACTCAAAATTGTTTTTAAATGAATGTTAAATTTTTTAAAATGTAATTGGGAAATATTTAATGAAATTATTTAAACTAATTAAATGAAATTAATTAAATGAAATGAAATTAATTAAATATATTGTAAAAAATATATTCTCCTTTGAAGCTTTCACATAATAAGAATAGCTATCCTGGAGAGCCTAGTGCTCCCTTCCTCTGGAAAAATTATTATTATTTCCAAACCTTATACCCTGGAGTATCCAGGGCTAACTTGATTTGGCAAAAAGTATGAAAGACCTTGGGGAGTCTGAATGTCTATGAAGATTTTTTTCTGTGAAAGTAGGAAAGGCTTCATAAATTTCCAGGGCTGATAATCAATTTTAAAAATCACACATGTCCCTATATGCTACTGTACAATGTTGTGGTTTTCCCGAATACAACAATTAGAAATTTGGCTTTCGCATTTTCAAAGTTTCAGATTAATTGTGACAGAAAAGCTCCATGAATTTTGAACACCTTTTATATCAGATTGTGAGTGTGACTTTTTGAACAATTTTCTTCTTTACAGAAGACCTGAGAGTATCTGGCATACAATCTACCTCCTCTCCTCTCCCCACCTCTCCTGCCAAATGGGAGGATAGTAATTCTATAGCTATTTATTAAGTGTTGATTTGATCCTAACTTCATTCAGTCCCTCTAATGACATTTTTCTCACAGCAATGAGTGGGCGGGACTTTTTTTAGAATACTTAAAAGTATAGGAACGTACACAAAGCAAAGCTTAATAACAGGGTAATTCATGTGAACAGGGAATAGTTGAAATACGACCAAAATGTGACAAAAGGTGGTTATAAAAGAAGTTATTGTCACCAGCAATTGATTTATCTGTAATAACTGATTAACCCCCTCGTGTCCTCCCAGCTAGCCTGCACTGCTAGCAATATCTTTGCTATCATCGAGACCCTAAGACAAGAGTTCTTAACCATTTCAGTTAAGTGGTCCTTGTCCCAGACCACTTTGGCAATCCAGTAAAACCTATGGAACCCCTTCTCAGAATAATGTTTGCAAATGAATAAAATAAAAAACATGGAATTATAAAGGAAACCAATTGTGTGAAATTACAGTTATCTATGTATGCCTTGTGTGTGTGTGTGTGTGTGTGTGTGTGTGTGTATGTGTGCATGTATTTTTTAAGTTCACTAATCCCCCCACCCTGAAATTTATCAAATGATCATCTGGAATTGCATGGATCCCAAGTTAAGAATGCTTGTCCTTGATTATGAAGAAGTACACCTGAAACCCTGATAGATGATACTGACACTATACACCAAGGCAACCAGTGGGCACTTCCATACCCTGGAGACAGCACAATCCGAGTCTTTTTTCTCAGTGCCTGAACCCTAGCTCCAACTCATCCTCTTACCCCTCTACCTCCTGATTTGTTTCTGTTGTGTTCGACCCTTTGTGACCCCACTTTTCTTGGCAAAGATACTGGAGTGATTTGCCATTTCCTTCTCCAGCTCATTTTACAGATGAGGAAGCCAAGGCAAACAGGGTCAAGTGACTTGCCCAGGGTCACACAGCTCGTAAGTGTTTGAGGCCAGATTTGAACTCAGGAAGATGAGTCTTCCTGACTTCAGGTCCAGCCCTCTATCCATTGTACCACCTAGCTGTCCCCTACCTCCTGACAGTAAAATATTTTCTACTATTCAGAGATGATCATTAGGTCTGGGGACCTGGATGGTTTCTCATTGTTTGGCAATAACACTCCCACTGTACATTTAAGCCGTAGCAAATATGTAATAACAAACCACACATTCTCAAAGCTGTGGGCCCCCTTTTTCCTTTATCAATGCTATTCTAACCATCTTCTCCCAAAACTCAAGACGGGATCAACATCCCAGGAGGGAGGGGAATCCTGAACTTAGTACAATGTATAGCGATTTTCATGCTTATGTTACCTTCTCTATTGCTTTGCTTGAAGTGTTTTCTCTCCTGGATTGCACAATGCTAGAACTGTCAATCAGAGACCCAGATGGCTTATACACCTGTGTGCCAACTCTGATAGAGGTAGTCAGAATGAATGGAAATCCATGAGGAAAAAAAATGTGACACATTTAATCTCCCCCCTTCTCCATTCTTGATGCCTGCTCCCCTTATCAGCATTAGAGCAGTTCTCTGTATTTTTCCCAGATAGATATAAGCCTTGCTAAAACTTGACTGCACTTCATATTGAAATGAAAATTACTTATGATATATCCCCTACAAAAATCTGAAACTTAACTGCTGTTAACCATTTGAATTAGTTTGCTCTACATTTTTAACATAAGATTTCATAGTATCAGTCTGTTGTTTTTATAATCATTTATTTGCAACATTGTTGTTTGCATCAGACTGCATCAGGAATAAGTGAAAAAGTATCTATTAAGTGCTTCTTTTGTGCCAAACAATGCTTAGTGTTGGGGATCCAAATAGAAAAAGCTAGTAGACATCCTCAGCTCTCAAGAAAGACACACTCTAGCTGTAGGAGACAACACATAAAAGAGAATTTAACTGCAGGGTAGATGGAAAGGCCAGAAGGTTCAACAATGCAGTGGTGAGGAAAATGGAAAGACCCAGAAGTCCTTAGGTTACTTAAGTAATTTACATGCCAGTGGTACAGAACTGTAGGTTATAGAGTCAGGGCAAATGGTAAGAACCTACAGGATTTTAGGAGGCAGCAGCAGGGTAGATGGCAAGGATAGATGGTGCTCCATTTCATGAGAAGGAATGGAATTGTTGACTTCTCTCTCATTCACACTCTCTGGGCAGGCCCACAGTCCAGGCAAGGGGAAATGCAAGAAGAGAAGGCCCCAGCGTAGCATCCTTCCTGCCCTTATAAAAAGAATATAGCATGTCCTATATTAATGAGAATGAGCAGTTAGGTGGTGCAGTAAATAGAGCACCAGAGATGGAGTCAGAAAGGCTTGTCTTAAGATGGCAGAATAAAAGCAATGATTTGCTTGAGCTCTCCCCCAAACCCCTCCAAATACCTGTAAAAAATGGTTCTAAACAGAAAGACTCATCTTCCTGAGTTCAAATATGGCCTCAGACACTTATTAGCTGTGTGACCCTGGACAAGTCACTTAACTCTGTTTACCTCAATTTTCTCATCTGTAAAAATGAGCTGTAAGCTCTTTTTGTGGTGGCCAAGAATTGGAAATTGAAGAGATGCCCATCAATTGGGGAATGGCTGAACAAGTTATGAATGTAATGGAATACTATTGTTCCATAAGAAATGACAAGCAAGTGGACTTCAGAAAAACCTGGAAAGACTTACAAGAACTGATGCTGAGTGGAGTGAGTAGAACCAGGAGAACATTGTAGACAGTAACAGTAATATGGTACGATGACTAACTTTGGTAGACTTAGCTCTTCTCAGCAATATAAGGATCTAAGACAATTCCAAGACTCACAATAGAAAATGCTATCCAAATCCAGAGAAAGAACTATGGAGTCTGAATGCAGATAGAAGCATACTATTCTCTCTCTCTCTCTCTCTCTCTCTCTCTCTCTCTCTCTCTCTCTCTCTCTCCATATATATATATATATATATATATATATATATATATATATATATATATATATATATATATATATATATATATATACATATATATATGTATATACACACACACATATATGTGTGTGTGTGTGTGTGTTTCTTCTTTCTCATTGGTTTTTTCCCTTTGGTTCTAATTCTTCTTTACAACATGACTAATGTGGAAATATGTTTAATATGATCGTACACATATAGCCTATATCAGATTGAATGCTATTTTGGGGAGGGGGCAAAAGAGGGAGGGGGAGAAAACTTAGAACTTAAAATCTTATAAAAACCAAAAACAAATAAATTAATTATTTTTTTTTTAAAAAATGAGCCGGAGAAGGAAATGGCAAAACACTGCAATGTCTTTACCAAGAAAACCCCAAATGGGGTCGGGAAGAGTTGGACATGACTGAACAACAACAACAATATGAATGAGAGGAAAATAGCTGAAGCTTTTAGAAAAGATCTTGTATAAACATAATGGGTTTAAAAGATGTTTTTAACAACTGTCATCTATTACACTATAGTTATAAACCAATTTCTATATCTGGTGATATCAATGAAAACTCAAATTGAAAGAAGTGAAACTTATTTTACACAGAAGCTCATGGGATGGTATATTAGGCTTTAACCTGCTATATGATCTCAGTTTCAATGCAGGTAATCTTTTTTTGGTTTTGTTTTTGTTTTATTTCTTTTTTTTGCTGCTGAATAAACAATTCACATATAAGGGGAAATGCCAATAGATGATAACAAGAAGAGCTACCTACCATCTCCAAATGTCATTTCCAGGTACAAATAGACCAATAGGAAGGCTGAGATGTAAACTGAGATGGTCTTGCTAAGGCCATAGCAGCATTTTCTTCACTCAGTTTTCCCATTGTGCTGTCTCCTTTTTGAACAGGAAAGCCTCCCTTCGATGAGAGGAATCAAACTCATGACCACTTCTGAGTAGAACTCAGGCCAGATTAAAATGTAACTGGGAAATGTTTAACAAAAGAAGTAAAAATACCATGCAATATAAAAAATGCTTGCTTGTAGTCTTCTAAGTCAATGTGACCCACAGGGATCCCCTTCAATTTGAGTTTGACACTACTGCCTTAGAATATACACCTGGCTATGTACAATACCCCTCGAATGATGTGAGGTTCTAAGACATAAATTAGCTATTCCAAAAGGCATTTATAGCATTTACCTGGGATCAATAAGAGCTGAGTGAATCCTGTGCCCTCATACCTAGTATGCACCCATCTGTAACATTCAGACCCAGGCCTGACAGAACAGACCGAGGACTATAACCATACTCCTCTTCCTTCCTTTTTTTAAAATTCAATTTTATTTTATTTTCAGGTCTGAATCTCTACACTTCTCTCTTCCCTCACCCACTGAGAAGGCAAGAGAAATGAACCCATTACAAATGTATATAGTCATACAAAATAAATTCCTGCATTAGCCAAGTCAAAAGAAAGATATAAAAGAGGGGAGAAGAGATGTCATGATTTGCACTGCATTCATCAACTTTCTATAAAGATGGATCTTTTGGAATTGTGGTTGGTCATTGTGTTGATCAGATTTACTACATCTTTCAAAGTTAATTTTCATTACAATATCACTGTTGTTATATAAATTATTCTTCTAATTCTGATTACTTTGCATCAATTCATACAGTCTTTCAACATGTTTCTGAAACTATTCCCTTCATCATTTTTTATAGCACAGTAGTATTCCATAACATTTATATACCATAACTTGTTCTGCCATTAACCAACTGAGGGCCATATCCTCAGTTTCCATTCGATGCTACCACAAAAAGCTACTATAAATAGTTTTGTGCCTATAAGTCCTTGTCCTCTTTCTTTGATCTCTTTGGAGTGTAGGCCAGGGGCAGTATCACTGGGTTAAAGGATATGCATAGTTTAATAGCTTCAAGAATGATTGGACTAGTTCACAGCTCCACAAACAGTATATTGGTGTTCCTGTTTTCCCACAGCCACTTCAGCATTTGTCATTTTATTTTGCTTGCTTGCTTTCTTTCTTTCTTTCTTTCTTTCTTTCTTTCTTTCTTTCTTTTCTTTTCTTTCTTTCTTTCTTTCTTTCCTCCTTTCCCTCCCTCCCTTCCTCCCTCCCTCCCTCCTCCCTCTCTCTCTCTCTCTCTCTCTCTCTCTCTCTCTCTCTCTCTCTCTCTCTCTCTCTCTCTCTCTTCTTTTTCTTCTTTTTTTGTCATCTTAGCCTATCTGATAGATGTGAGGTGGTACTTCAGAATTGTTCTAATTTGCATTTCCATAAGTATTAGTGATTTAGATTATTTTTTCATATGGCTATAGAGAACTTTCTTCCTCTGAAAATTACCTACTTATATCCTTTGACCATTTATCAATTGGAGAATGGCTCTTATTCTTATAAAATTGACTCCATTCCCTATATATGTTAGAAATGAGACCTTTATCAGAGAAATTTGCTGCAAAGATCCCCCCACCCCAGTTACTTGCTTTTCTTCTAATTTTAGTTGGATTTTTTTTGTTTCTGCAAAAACTTTTTTAATTTTATAGAACCAAATTATTCATTTTACCTTCTCTGGATTTTACCTCTCTATCTCTTATTTGGTCATGAATTCTTACCCTTATCCATAGATCCAACAGGTAATTTATTCTATGTCCTACTAATTTGTCTATGATACCACCTTTTATGTCTCTATCATGTATACATCTTGAGCTTATCTTAGTATATAGTATATTTCTGCCAGACTATTTTCCAGTTTTCTCAAATGTTTTTTTTTTGTAATAGAGAATTCTTGCCCCAGTAGCTGGGATATTTGGGTTTATCAAGCACTAGGTCACTGTGTTCATTTGCTTCTATGTATTATGTGCCTAATCTTTTCCACTGATCAACATCTCTATTTCTTACTCAGTACCAAATTGTTTTGATAATTAAAGCTTTGTAGCATAGTTTGAGATCTGACACATTCTCTAAATATCTAGAAATTTCAGGGGAGAGTTAAACTCTATGCTTCTTCTTGCTCTGTCATCTTGACTATACCTCCTCTCTTAACATCATATTTCTCTGACATCTTCAGGAGATACTTAGATGTTTTATGATGAATCATAGTGTCACTATCACCATGCATCCTCGAGTCCACAGCAATGGAGATCAAGAGGTAGAAAGACCCTTTCTTAAGAGTCAGACATTTTCCCAAATTGAAGTATGAACAAATATTTCAGTGATTTTTTTGTGCCATTGTGAAATATTAACAAAGAAGACAATAGTAAGTTTTTCTCTGTGAACTAATTCTAAGGAATCTAAGAGCCCCATGCTATTTCTGATACATTCATAGCATGTAAGGTTGACTTTAGTTCATGAGTTTCCTCATGGATTCAATGACATTATGCAAAGATGGCAGGGAGTGGATTGCCACCAAATAAATGAATTGAAGTAGGTAGAAGAAACTCATCATTTCATTGGTTTTTAATTCCTGAAACTTAAGGAACCTTTGTTCCAATTGTTGCAATAGTTCAATAACCCTAATCGAACTTCTGAATAGTAAAGACACCAGACCAAGGAAGATATACATAAATTTTGATGTGTCTCACTGAAAGAAAGAAATATGCTTCTTAATTTAGATCAGGAGCTCTTAACCTGGCATCCACAGATGCCCAAATGGTATAGTTGTCAGGAGATCAATGAATTTGGGGAAAATTGTATTGAAGTTTTTATAACCTCTGAATTTAGCATCTCCTTTAATTGTGAATTTTAAAAATAAATATCATCTTGAAAAGGGGTCTCACCAGATAACTAGAAGAGTCTATCACAACACACACACACACACACACACACACATACACAGAGAGAGAGAGAGAGAGAGAGAGAGAGAGAGAGAGAGAGAGAGAGAGAGAGTTAAGAATTGCTGCTTAGATCAAGAGGGCACATGCAAAATATCCAGTGACAAGCCTGGAACAATTACAAAAGGATCAGAGTCAATACATGCTATAGACAAAGTTGCTCAGGAAAGAGATGACGTTCTGAGTCTTCTTGAAACAGGTCAAGGAAATCCAATACCCCAGGTGCCTGGAAAAAGACATTTTTGGTTGTATCATTAACACAAGTATTTTCAGGGGACAATACCTTGGAACTTAAACAAAAGATACAAAAAGAAATGGTTCTTTTCAACGCCTTATGCAGAATAATTTGTCAGACTTTGACTCAACAAGTGAAGGAAATAATAATTTAAAGAAAAGGAAAGGGAAAATTCTTCTTTGCATCAATATGCTAAAGCCCTAAACTGAAATCTAACCAAGGCTACTATAAACACTAACTTCTTTTCCAAGAGACTTAACAGTTGTGGTATATGATTGTCATGGAATACTACTATGCTATAAAAATGATAAGCTCAATGGTCTTTAAAAAAAAACCCAAAAAGAGTTGCACAAAATAATGAAGAGCAAAATGAGCAGAACCAAGGGAACATTGTATACAGTAACAGCAATGTTGTTTTAAGAATGACTTTGAACAAATAAGTCATTTTGACTATTATAAATACCCAAATTAACTATAAAGGACATATGAAGAAAGATGCTATCTGCATCCAGAGAAAGAACTGATAAATAGAAATATGTATAGAATAATTTTACATACATATATCTACTTGCGTCTAATGGTAGCCATTGCTAGGGTGAGGGTGGGGGGGAGAGAAAAAAAGGGAAAGAAATTTACATGATAACTTTATTATATATTTTAAAAATATCAAGTTGTATAAAATAGATTTGTGGTTGCATGTGCAATCACCTCTTTAAAATTATGCTATGCTATGGAAATGCTTGTTTTATTCCATAAGTTTAAAAAAGAATTATGCCTTTTTTCCCAGTAAACTTGATGATAAAATGGTTTATGAAAAAAATTAACTCAATCTGTACTTATAATAGGTTTGAATATCACGTCCTAATTCTGCCAAGTGGTTGTGCTTTTCAAATTTGATAATTATTGAAGTCTAGTTCTGAAAAATAATGAGAGGGTTAAACTAGATGCCATGGGACACATCTTTTCCAGCACTGGATCTCAGCCCCTCCCTTGTTACACTGTGCTATGTTTCATCTTGAGCAAGATATGCAGTTTAAATAAGACACAATCTTGCCCTCAGGAGGAAAGTCTAATAGGGAGATATGATGCCAGCTTAGATATCAATGACACACAATGGTGCGTAATTGATGCATTAGAGATTTGGTGGAAGAATTATTTCTAAAGTGTCTTCCACTTCTAAATTTCTGTTTGTTCCTAGGAATACAGCAGCAGTCATGGTTTAGCCTATGCCCAGCTTGTTCTAAGGAAGGTGTCTCACCCTGAGAAATAGAAACTCAATCTAAGAGACTGCCAGGGAGCACTGAAAAAATGACATTGACAATAATGTATGTATGTATCACTTTAAGGTTTCCTAAGAGCTTTTTTCCCACAATTCTGTGAGGTAGCATATGGCAAAAACCATAATAATGTATAACACATAATAAGAACTATCAGTGTTCCCATTTTATACACACAGAAGCAGTCTCGGGTAGTGAGTAGAATGCTAAGCTCAGAGCTGTTCTTACGCTAGGGTCCATGACCTTTTAAAAATATATATATTTCAATAGTTATATTTCAACATAATTGGTTTCCTTTGTAATCCCCTCCATTTTATTTTAGGCATTTAAAAACACTATTAAGAGAAGGGGCCATAGGTATCACTAGACTTTCCAGAGAAGTCAGTGACACAAAAGGAGTTAAGTACTCTTGGCTCAGTATCAGGAAGACGTGCCTCTTGCACTGTCTAGTGACTTTGGGAAAATCAGGCAACTCTCCTAGGACATATCTGCTAAGTCAGACATGGAATACCATCTTCCTTAGTTGAGAATTTCCATGCTAGAAGTTCTTCCTGATCCAGCTGAAATCACCAATCCTTCATATTCCCGTTTTACAGATTTAAAACTGTCCTTGGCAAGATTACATGGCTTGCCTATAGACAAGTGACTAAGAAATATCAGAGTTGAACTTGAACTGTACCTTTTTACCATGAGAACAGTGCTTTTTTTATTGCATGTAAAGGCACCCTAGTTATTTCATTGCAATGACTTCAGGATAATCTCTCTATACATTCTATAGAATGTTGATTTCTTGAGCTACCACTTAGAGCCACCATCTCCTGGCCACTCCATCATGCATTGATTCTTCCCTCCTCTGAAATTCCTATAACATTGCTTGTCTGTACCACCCATTTTACAAATCATTTTTATGCAGTGAAATACATTATTCTTAGAAGTAGTCCATAGGCTTCACCAGACTGCCAAAGAGGCCCAAGACACAGAAAAGGTTAAGAAACCATTTTAACCTATCATCTTTGTTACTTACTGCTTATATCATTATTTAATTTATTTTTATTTTTTGCTTTGCTTTCTAGCTTATCTCTCCAGGTATATTATTCTTCCTCATGTAATTTCCTATCTCCACAGAACCTAATATATCACATTATCTATGCATATAGTATATAGGTCAATATATATTGTTTGAATGAATATTTTTACACACATATATACACACCACACACACATATTTGTTGTTGTTTTTCAGTCATTTTTCAGTCATGTCTAATTCTTTGTAACCCCATTTGGGGTTTTCTTGGCAAAGATACTGGAATGGGTTGCCATTTCCTTCTCCAGCTCATTTTACAGATGAGGAAACTGAGGCAGACAGAGTTAAGTGACTTGGCCAGGTCACACAGCTAGGAAGTGTCTGAGGCCAGATTTGAACTCAGGAAGATGAGTCTTCCTGATTCCAAGTCCAGCACTCTATCCACTCTATGCCACCTAGCTGGATAGATATCTCTACATAGACATATATGTATGTGTATGTGTAAATATATATATATATATATATATATATATATATATGTGTGTGTGTGTGTGTGTGTATATGTATATATATATATACATATATGTGTGTGTGTATATGTATATATACATTTACATATATACATACATGCATATATCTATGTATCCATTCTCATTTCAGATATTGATCTCACTGATCAATTATCACCCTCTCTCCTATTCCTTAAAGACCGTTATTGATGATTAAATCTTGATTATTCTATACAGTCTCTGGATCATTCTCATCCTACCACTATTCCTGTCTCTTTCCTCTCTGAACTATCCCTCTCTTTAAATCCTACCTATCCTTCAGGATCCATATAGGCCTCAGCTCCCTTCTCTGCTGTCAGTAAGCACTTCCTTCCTGTACCCCTCATTTGGCCCTTACCACATAAATGCCTCATGGTGATCTTTTTTTTCTTATGTTAATCTTGTCTCCCCCACCAGACTAGGAGCTCCTAGAGAATAGGAATAAATGCCCCTTGATTTAATTGAATTGAATTAGGTAATTCAGACCTACTAGTCCAGGGAGTGGGGAACCCACAACTTGGAGACCACATGTGGTCCTAAGGTGTGGCCTTTTGACTGAGTCCAAGTTTCACAGAACAAATCCTTTTATTAAGGAGATTTGTTCTGTGAAGTTTGGATTCAGTCAAAGGGCTGCCCTTGAGGACCTAGAGGGCTACATGTGGCCTTGAGGTCACAAGTTCCCCACCCCTGATAGACCAAGTCCCTCAAACCCTATCCACAAAATCAATTCCACAGTAGAGATCTTGAAGGACATGGGTTTTTATTTATGTAGTTTATATAGTTAAACCAGACTGATTTTCTACATTGAAAAAATCCATAGAGCAATTACTCAGCTTTCTATCTTACCTAGAGGTCTAGGTTTCTGCAACCTTTTGACACTTGAATGGAGTACCCACACAAAGTGTTAAATGACACACTGGTTTGTCTTATAAAGGCTATGTATGGAAGCAGAAATCACTAAGGCAGTGGTTCTCAAAGTATGATCCACAAACCCCTAGGGTGTCCAAAAAGCCTTTCAAGAGGTCTGTGAGGTCAAAACTATTTTCATAATAACACTAGGACATTATTTGACCGTTAAAATATTCCTCCTTTTTCCCAACCATACATCTTGTGATGCTAGGGTTCCCCCCCCCATATACTTCAATCAAAACAACATATTGCAACAGATTGAATGCAGAAGCAGCTATGAGAATCCAGCTGTTTTCTATTAAGCCAGACATTAAAGAGATTTGCAAAAATGTATAAAACAATGCTGCTTTCTCACTAAATTTTTTGTTTTGAAAATATAGTTATTTTTCATAAAAGCATGCTATGTAATGGGTTTATTCTTATTATTTTAAATTAATTAATAAGTAGTTATTTTAAATTTATTTATTAGTTTTCATTTCTAATTCAATAAATACCAATAGATACAACCAGAGGTATGCTAGAGTCAGCTCAAATTGGCATGAGCATTTATACTACAGAAACCAGCAAACACTACAAGTTAAGCCTTGATTGATTTTTGTTATTGTTGTTAATTGCCTAGATTTAAGAAAGTGGTGGGGGAAATGTTAATAATGCAGATTAAATTTTAAACTGTGTCATGGGTATTTTTTTTTCACAGACCCATTGGCTGAATATTTACCAGCACACTCCTGGATATAACCCACAAAAACAAAAATTCTTTAGGATTCTCAATCATTTTTAAGAGTGTAAAGAGTTCCTGGGACCCAAAAGTTTGAGAACCATTGCTCTAAAAAGAATCAAAAAATATTTAAATTATTTTCCTCCTCCTCTTTCTCCTCTTGCACCTTTCTGGGTCCAAAAGGCATGGGTTAAAGAAATCAGCCATTTTTAAAACAGATTGCAGTTTCTTCCCCCTCCCTCTCATCTACTTTTTCCTTAAAATTTTTATTAAATTTTCTCAAATTTCTGAAAATTGAAGTTTTCTTTAAATTTTCTCAAAATTTAAAATTTAGTGAAATTATCATCTAGATAAGTTGGGGAAAGAATGAGTTAGAAGTAGGGTCAGCCCTCAGAAAAATGGTGGGGAAAGGTGAAATCTGGAAGTCTGTTTATCACTTTCCTGATCTATGCCCAGCAAACCAGGATTGTAACCATTCTGGGATGTTACAGACATTATCCCATCTTCCAATGCTCAGGACCTAGTTGGAAGTCTTCCCCCTAATCCCTTCCCAACAGCTAAATGCCAGTCCCCTTTTGGCTTTTCAGGCCTGGTGGAGACACATACCTGATGGCTTCCTATACCATTTCCTTCTGCTCCTCAATTCTCTGGCTGAGCACTATTGCAGCAGAAGATTGCCATCCCAACCAGAGTAAGCTTCTAGCTTCCCATGGCACAACGGTGATGACTGGGGGGACAGTTGAGTTCTACTGTAAGCCATGGGTCAGTGTAGTCCTTGTTTTTGTAATAACATGTTTTTAAGCTTGTGTCGTCCTGCCAGAGCATGGTAGCTAGTGGGGGATGAGGTGCTTAGTGAGCATTTAAGGGATTAGAGATTAGCCTTCTCTGTTGTCAATTCCCTGGGTTAGTGTGTTGGTGATTTAGACATGGGGATAAAGTTTTTATCCCTTATGCATAATTTGTATTTTGGAGAGGTTTGAGAGGTCATGAAGATTGGACAACAGTGTCCAGTCCATTATCTTGTGGGTCACACTATTCAGAACAGCAAGAGGGTTGTCCAGTCCCATCAGTTAAAGCCCACATTCCAATGTATTTTTTCCAATATCAATCACCAGTTATAGTTAGTATATCTTTTATATCACAGATACCATCTAGTAATTAGCAACCATTTAATCAATGAACATCTACTAGCTTTCACAAATAGATATTTCCTGAGAATATACAATGAGAAAAGAAGTATAACCACCCTCCTACCCCAAATCAGAGCACTCTCCCCTATACCATATCAGTCTGTGTTTGCTTCAGATCGTTTGCTCCCTCCACCCCAAGTCTGCTTCCAAATGTGACATAGCCAATTAATGAAGTATCTTCACAAAGTGGTACTTTGGCTGCTAGGTCCAATTCACTGCTGGCCTGGATCCCACAGATCACTTCTTGGGCAAACTCTATCATGGACTCCTATCTCTGGACCTCTGGCAGCTCTCCTGACCTTTCAAAGCTCACAAGATCACAACCTAGTCTTTCCCATTTTCAGTATTCCTTCACCTGAGGCAGGAGACAATAGGCACCACAGGTACAGAAGCAACATTGAGGTTCATGGCTTCATGTTGAGTAGAGTGAGAAGAACATGCCACCAGTGCCAGCTTTCTCTCCCCTCTCGCTGTCCTTTCCTCCTCCTTCATAGAAGATGGCAGGAAAAGAAAGAATGCCCACCAATCACTTCTAGTTCAGCAACCAATCAAAAGTACACGTCTTTACCATGTGGTTAATGAACCATAAACTGTCATACGATACTTAGGATCTGGGGTAGAGAGGAGGGCCCCTCAATTCTATGTCATCCAGAACTTCCTGAAGCAAGGTCACCAAATGTGCATGTTCCCAAGACTGAGGCCTCTTTGGCCAGTCCCCTGTTACATATGTGTATGTGTATATATACACATGTGTGTACATGACTTTATATATGTATATATATATATATGTGCATGTGGGTATATATTTATATACATAGTACTGTATTATATATGTGCGTATATCTTTGTATATGTGTATGCATGTGAGTATACATGTGTATATAGAATATGTACTACATATAATATATGCACACATGTGTATCCTCTGACACCTACTAGCTCTATTACCTTGGGCAAGTTACTCAGCCTTCCTGGTTCTCCATCTCCTCCCTTATAAAATGAGAGGTTTTATCAGATCCCTTCCTCTCTAAACCTATTTTCCCTCAGATCCCTAAATCATCACCACCTTAGCAACGTATTCTTAGAGTGGCCCAGGAAACAGAGATGTCATTTGCTGAGGGTCACATGGTCAGGACGTATCAGAGGCAGGACCCAAGTCCAGGTCTTTCTCCTAACTCTGAGGGAGGTCAGCTCTCTTTCCACTATACCATCCTACATATGTATTATTACATTATAAAATAATATAATAATAGGCAGCTAGGTGGCTCAGTGGATAGGGTGGGGCCTGGAGCCAGGAAGAACTGATTTCAAATCCAGCCTTAGACACTTACTAGCTCTGTGACCTTGGGTAAGTCACTTAATCTCTTTTTGCCTCAGTTTCTTCAACTGTAAAATGGGGATAGTAATAGCATCTACTTCATAGGTCTTTTAGGAGGATAAAAATGAGGTAATATTTGTAAAATACTTAGGCAGTGCCTGGCACAAAGCTGACATAATACAAATGTTAACTAGTAATTATTATCACTATTATTATTAGTTAACATCAATATATGCATTGCATATACAATAGTATACATATTATTAACATTAACATTAATATATTCAATATATTCAATGTCATTTTTGTTTTAGACAGACATACGTCTATCATATGGACATGTAGAAATGTAAATAGATGTATGTAGACTTTTAATAAGATTGTATCTATACACTTTATCAGCTTTTGCAAAATCATAAAAATAGATATCAGTAGCATACTGCTCCACCCCTTCCCTACAACATTCTATGTCTAAGAATGATCCAAGCACAGGAAAATGGACCTCATCCTCCTTCCCTCCATATCCCTTTCTGAAGGCATCTGACTATGGAAACTTCTCCAGTGCGAAATGCCACTAGAGGTCAACAAAGCAACATCAAACAGAGCTATGGTGAGGTAAGTGAGTTTCATGCAACAGCCACAAGAGGGCAGGACTTTTAGCTCTGTCGGCCTTTAAAGCCGCATTTTAATGCAGCTAAGTCAGCGAAGGGGTGATATTTTTGCTGTGGGACTGTGGGAGCATGTTTTGCTATTTCGCGTATGTTTTCACTAAGAATTAAATAAGATTGTAGCAGTAATAATAAAAATGGTGATGATGCAATAGTAATAAACATTAACAATTTTCTTCACTGGCATAGGGAGATTTTCCTCCTTCAAGGTTGGCTAGGGAGATCTGACGGATAAGCCTAGCCCATCTGCTGCCACATTGCAGAGACAGGCTTGATATTGAAATTGATTTGTAAAGTGAGAAGTGGGAACATGGTAAGGTAGCAAGATGCCATGGAAATGGGGATTGTGCTCTCTGATGTGCGGCTCCTTTGAAAAGTTTCTCCACCACTTAAGTGATTCTTACATTCAATAAACATTTATTGAGCACCTACTCTATGCAGAGCATTGTACTAGAAGCTATAGGTAAATACAAAGTTCAACAAAACACTGTTCGTGTCATTAACGATCTTACAATATAATGCAACAAAAAAAAAGTCGTGGGATAGTTGGGTATAGAAATCTAGCTTGCCCTACGGGCAGTGGGAGGGGGGGGGAAGAAGTGGGAGGGCAGATAGAAGGGAGGAAAGAAGCAGTAAGGGCAAAGGGGAAGAAAAGGGAAAGGGATGATAGAGGGGAGGAGAGACTGGAGGAGGCAGGTGGTCAAAAGCAGGGCACTGGTGAGTGGGGGAAGAAGAAAGCAGAAAGAAAAGCATAAACGGAGGGGGGGAAGGGATGGAGAAAAAGACAGATGGTAATCATAACTGTGAAAGTTGAATTGCTACCTTTTTTTTTTTCTTCTGTTGAGTTGTTTCCTCTTACTGATGGTTCCTCTTATTGGTTTTAATTTTTATTTACAACTTCACTAATGTGAAAACATGTTTAATACGAATGTAAATGTATAGCCTGTATCAGATTGTGCACCGTCTTGGGGAAGGTGGTGAGGAGGAAGGGGGAGAAAAATCTTAAACTCAAAAGCATATTGAAGTGATTGTTGATAAATCAAAATAAATTAATAAAATAAAAAAAGTAATGGGGATGATATAGCTAATAATATTCCCTGGTCCCTTCTGTTGGGCCACTTCCTAAAGGACATCTGTGAACATCTCCTGGTTGGTCCCTTTGTATGACTGGGACTGGTATAAAAAATGAATGCTATTTGAGCCAGGAAGAGCCACTCTCTTCCTGCAATGTGAGAATGAGGACAAGCAACTTCCTATCTCTTTGGATCCTGCTTGGCTTGGAACACCGATCTCCTTTGGACTTCTGGGGGAGGAAGGGAGAAGGATTTCTCCCATCTTCTCCCTGCCCACAGCAGTGGTGATCAGATGTACATGGCAGAAAAAAAAATGTGTGTCTGACCAGATATAGGAGACTGGCCTTCACATCCTCGGCTGCCTCTTCTGCTTTGTGTTTCTTTCCCTGAGCTTGTCACCAAACAATGATGATGAGAGATGGCTATTTCCAGCTGTCAGTAACTTCATGAGTTCCAGAGGTCAGAAGTTCCTGAATCAGGTGTTGGTTGCTTGACAGGAAATGATTTTCCCAATAGCTCCTCAGAGAAGAAGAATATCACACCCAGGAGGATTTGAGCTTGGGTCTGATTGGCCAGAAAAATCTGGATATTGTGAGCTCCTAGTACTAAGGCAAAAGTAAAATATATGTTCTGCAGCTCCACAAAGCTGTCTTTACCTTGAGGGACAATATAATAGGGGCAGTAAGTTACTGTTTCCTGTTTTAATTATCTGTTAATGTCATGTTTTTGTTGTTGTGTTTTAAATATTTATTTTGTGGTGGAGGAAATAAATAGCTGTTGACCAGAGTTAAAGCAGGATAGTGAGGGTGGCAAGAGAAGCCTGAATGTTCTCCACTTGCTCAAGGAGGAGGTCAAGGGCTTCATCTGAAATACGGTGAGCAAAGCTTGCTCAAGTTTTGTTATTGTTTTTTTTTTTAATACGGGAAAGAGGCTATCACTGAAATTAAATAGTGGGAGACACAACCAAAGAATATTGCCAGAGTTTGATCCATTTATGAGTCTTGTGATTGATGAATGTGGAAAGATGGCATCATGTGGGCAACAGAACAACATTGGAATTGTAGTGTTTAAGGAAATAGTATCATCATGTTAGAAGCCTTGGAACGAATATAAGTAATGAAGCACTGAGCTGAGATTGCTACGTGCCTTTCCATTTCAAGAGCTTTTTTAAAAAATTTGATACATAAAATCAGTCACTGTACATTCTTTATGTTCTAGCTTTTTAAAAATAAACTTTTTATAGGAGAAAAAAGGAAGGACGGAAAGAAGGAAGGCAAGAAGCTGTCCTATACTTAATATATCTACTTTTTACATTCAGTAAACTGAAGGAACTTTTAAGTGAAACTCTAGACTTGAACCATATCTAAGCTTTATTTAACTGATTTCCCCTGGAACTCCAGAATTGAGGCAAATTGATCCAGAGAGAACAAAAAAAAATTCTAAAACCGTGAATCTCCTCTTTTGGGGGTCAGGTTTCTCCAAGATTGATTCCAATCCACTTGAGTCCAGAACAGGAGCCCCTCCCTACTTGTTGAAGGGATATCTCAGGCTGTTAATTATATAAATAGGTATTGTGTGTGTGTGTGTGTGTGTATGTGTGTAATGTACATATATATAACATATATATAATGTATATACACACATACATACATACACACAGAGGCAGCTAGGTGGCACAGTGCATAGAAAGCTGGATCTGGAGTCAGGAAGACAAGTTCAAATGTGGCCTCAGACACTAGCTGGGTGACCAGAGGCAAGTCATTTAATCTTTGCCTCAGTTTCCTCACCTGTAAAATGAGAATAATAGTAGTATCCACCTCCCATACTACTTATGAGGATCAAATGAGATAATATTTGTAAAACTCTTTATAAATGCTAGCTATTATTATATGTCTATAGATTCAGATGTGTATATGTGATATATACATAAAAATTTAATAGCTTGAACTACATGAATACCTATGGAATACCATGTGTATGTGACTTAATGAGGTAGGGCCAGTGTTCACACTGGTATACAGGAACAAAGAATTTATGGGTGACATGGTTCCCTTATTCATTTTAGGACCAGCTAACAAAGCTACCTCCTTCTATTTCCTGGCATTTGCTTTCCTGAACCACTGTCCAGTATCAAAACCAAGGGAAATAAAGTTAAGAACTCAGGGACTGATTGCCTTTAAATACTAGAAATTGTTCTACCCACAAATTTCAGTACAATTCAAATTTTAAAAACTTTATATTTCTGTGCTCTGAGCTCTAATGATCCTCTCCCGATAGTGTTTGTATAAACAAAAAGAGGATGCTAAGCCTTGAAATACCTACAACCAACATTGTGTCCTTGTTATGTGTTTAGACACAGATCTGACCTGGAACCAGAAGTTTAGCCCAGACTTCTGTTACTTTAATATCTAGGTGATCCTTAGCAAATCACTTAACCTCCCTGGACCCCAGTTTCAATATCTGGAAAATTAAGGGAGTTGCACTGGTTCAGGGATCAACCTTTTTTGTGTCAGGACCCCTTTGGCAGGCTGGTATAGCCTATCAACCTCTTCTTAGAATGATGGGTTTTTTATTTTCTTTTATTTTTGAAACTAGGTCTCCCTATCTCCCCCAGGCTGGAAGTCCAGTAGCTAGAACACAGCTGGATCCCATTCTAATTGGCATAGGAGCATTGACTTGCTCCATTTCTGACCTGAGCTGTATTGCCCTTCTTAGGCAGCCTAGTAGTCCCCTATTCCTGGAGTCTTGACATATTGGTGCCAGACTTATTTTGGGCAAATTCTACTCTGAGGTAGAGTACTTTGTAAAGTGAATTGCTTTATAAAGTACTCTACCTCAGAGTAGAATTTAAACCTTGAATTGTCCCAGTGAATTTTAAATGGTTCAATTTGCAACTGTTAAATTTACAATCTTTTTTGAAACACTTTTTTGGGGAATTTGTCACCTAGATCCCATTTTAACCAAGCCAGACATGCAACCTATCAGTTCAAACACAGCAGCAGATTTACTATAGTTAGAACTGGGTGATCCTATGAGTTGGGGGCAGGGTGTGAGGAAGTGGGGGGGGGGGAGAGACACTATTAGCTATAAAGGAAAGATCCTGGAGTCTCATTCCTGTCCAGTCGCTAACTTGCTGTGTACACAAACCATACTTTTGTGGATCTCAATTTCTTCATCTGTCAAATGGGAATAATAATAACTTGATAACTTGCTAGGTTGTGGCAAAGGTGAAATAGTTGTAGAAGCAATATTCAAAGTAAAGGTATTATAAAAATATTAATATCCGTGTTGTTTAAAGAAACAATTCCCATCTTCCTCTCTGAAAGACAAAGAAAACTAAAAATTCTTAAAATAACTGAGTTTGAAAGATTTCCATTTCAAGAAAAGTGAATTTGTGCTTCTGAGTCTATCCTAAATAAAAAACTATGGTCTTTTAAAACTGATCATAATACTCTGTAGTTGTCATGGCTCCTTATCTCATGAGAGATGGAGGCTAGCCTGAAATCATCAGAGAGACTTTAGAGGTCACTTAGTCCAACCTTTTACCCAGTGCATAACTCCTTAGATGAGCTGCTTGACAGATGGTTAGCCATCCTCCAAATGAATACTTACAGTGATGTAGCTCTTTTCCAGTTTCCAAAGACAGCTCTGTTGGAAAGTTTTTTCTTATATTGGGTTGAAATCTCAGTAAAAATATGAAGAAGAACATCTAGAAAGCAAGACTCTAAGATATTGAAACAAGTTTACTGAAGTGAAGAAGATCCTTCTCCAGGAATCTGTGGGAGTAAGATAAGATGGCTATTCTTCTGGCTAAGTGGATTTAGTGTCAATCCTTGATGAAAGCGGCAAGTATAATAACTAGCCTGACTCCTCCTTTTGTACTCCACCCATCTTCAGGCTTAATCTAGAGACCAACTAGGACCCAGAGGCTGAAAAGATGTAAGGAAACCCTTGAAAAAATGTATTATGCACCTGCTGAGTACAAAGCACTATTCTAGATGCTTAAAAAAATAGATACAAACATAGAAAGGAATTGGGTAGATCACAAGTGAATAGTTCTAAAAGCATGGTCTGTGTACACCTAGAGGACCCTGAGATCCTTTAGGAGAGAAAGGGGAGGTCTATGAGGTTAAAACTATTTTCATAATAATAGTAAGATGTTCTAATTTCTACTACAGTAAATATTGATAGATATAATGCACATAAACAAAAGTGATTTGAGAGACATCCTCAATAATTTTTAAAGAGTCCTAAAACCAAAAATCTTGAGAACTGCTGGTATAGATAAAAACATGAGGGCCCTATCTTCATAGAGTTTGTAATCTATTATGTATTTGAATGAATTAATATGAGAATAAATTCCATAACCCTACCTGGCACCTTTCTGTTTCATACTACTAGAGCTTCCTGATATTAACCTGTATGGATATCCACGATAGATAGATGATAGATAGATAGATAGATAGATAGATAGATAGATAGATAGATAGATAGACAGACAGACAGATAGATAGAAGAAAGAGAGAGAAAAAAGAAACAAAGGAGAGAAGGAGGAAAAGAAGAAGGAAGGGAAAAAAGATAGATGGATAAAGCATTTATGAAGTATTTATCACATGATAGGCAATGGGCTAAGTGCTGGGGCTATGAATAGTAGCCAACAAGACAGGCATTACTCTTCAGGAGCTTTCGTTTGAGTGAGAAAAGGACCCACATGTACAAAAATATTTATAGTAGCTCTTTTTGTGGTAGCAAAGAATTGGAAATTGAGGGGATGCTCATCAACTGGGGAATGGCCAAACAAGTCATGGCATATGAAGGTAAGGTAATACTATTACTACATAAGAAATGTAGTAGCAGGCAGATTTTTAGAAAAACCTGGAAAGACTTGCATGAGCTGATTCTGAGTGAGGTGAGCAGAACCAGGAGAACATCGTACACAGTAACAGCAATGCTGTGCAAAGACTGACTTTGATAGACTTAGCTCTTCTCAGCAAAGCAAGGATCTAAGATATCTCCAAAAGACTCATGATGGAAAATACTATCCACATCCAGAGCAAGAACTACAGAGCCTGAATGCAGATCAAAGCATACTATTTTCTCTCTTTTTTTCTTTCTCACAGTTTTTTCCCTTTTGTTCTGATTCTTCTTTCACAACATGACTAATGTGGAAATATGTTTAATATGATTGACACATGTATAGCCTGTATCAGATTGAATGCTGTCTTGGGGAAGGGGGAGGAAGGTATGGAGGGAAAAATTTTAGAACTCAAAATCTTATAAAGGTGAATGTTAAAAACCAAAAATTAATTAACTAATTTAAAAACCATAAAAGGAAACTGGAAGGGGGTGGGATGGGAAGAAGGTTGCCCAAGAGGAGCAAGGTGGCTGTTGAAGAGAAACACAGAGAATCAATTGAGTAGAAAGTAGAGTGATGCACATCTGAGACCCCTCCTGAAATAGTGGCCTGGGCCAAGGAGTCACCAATCAGGAGAGCAGGGCCTTCAGGCAGAGGTCCCTCCAGGGTGGGAAGGCAGCTGGTGAGGAGGAGAAGTTTGGAGATTTAATCTTCAGGAGCAAGTTAGCTGCTGCCAAATCCCCAGACAGTTCCCCCACATATCCAGAGGTGTTCTGTACTATTGAGATGTTTCAGGGTCAGTAACTCTAACCCAGGAGCTCTGTCTAGTGTTTGTGTCCAGGCCATCTGTAATATCTCTGATCTTGTCCCTCCCATTGTCATCTGAGACCTGCTGCTAAGCTAATGTCAAGACGTTCTAGATGACCTTTAGAAGTCACATCTGAGTCTGTGATCTTGTATTTTCATGCTATATTTCAGTGTGATGTTTTCCAATTCAAGAAGGCTGTCTTACAAATCAGTGACTCCCATCTCTGGCATCATGACACCCCAAGGTATCTTTAGTTATTGTGTGTGGGAGGATATGAAATTCTCAAAAATTTCTCAAAACAAAATTGATGCAAAAAATGTACAGCATGTTGTCATGGATAGAGAGCTATCATTGAAGCCAGGAAAGCCTGGCTTCAAATCACACCTCTGACATAGTAACTATATGTCAGAGGTATGATTTGAAGCCAGGCTTTCCTGGCTTCAATGTTGC